GTGTGAGTGTACAGGCGGTCAGGATCGGTGTCTCAGTGCAGTGTGAGGGTACAGGCGGTCAGTAAGTCAGCGTGTGTGAACTGACCCTGCCCTTCCTCTCTCCTCAGACGCGCAGCAGTGACCCTCTATGCTGTGGTGACTGGGGCTCAGGAGCCTGCAGAGGAGGGGGTATGTGTTTGGGCCAGGAGCCTGGTCTGGGGTGTCTCTTGGGGTCACACAGCCCTCCTGAAGGGCTTGGAGTCAGCATCGGGCCCCTGAGTGAGAGCGAGGAGGAGGAGGAGGAGGATGACGACGACTCGAAGAGTGACAGCGAGGAACAGCAGGGGGTGTTTGAGAGAGACTGCACAGAGCTGGACTTGACGCTCATCGAGGAGAACTAGTGGAAATCAACCCGCCATGGCCTCCGCGACCCCTGACCCCTGACCCCTCACCCCCGGGAGAGCTCTCAGGAACACAGCCACCCTCCCCGTGGACCAGGGGTTTCTATAACAACCAGAATACTACTCTTAACGTTAACAATAATAAAATAATTATGATGCAGGTAGCCTTGGACACTGTCCTTCTGGCTGAATACATTCCAGGACCTTGCTCTTGTCTCTGTGCTGTGTCTCTGCTCCGCTCTCTGCCTCTCTGTCCGCCTCCTTTTCTCTCCGCGTCCTTGTTTTGAGAGCAGTGATCTGAGATGGTGGTTGTTTTTCTCAGTTCTTGTAACACGCAGGAATAATTGGGAAGCTCACCATCGCCCCCTGTCTGCCAAACAGCGAACCGTTTCTGCTCTCCGGCGAGACTCGCCTGGATCGGCTCCAGCCTTAACAAAACAACAGCCTCCCTCCTCTTTCTAAACACAACCAGATGCGTGTCTAGCTGCTTTCTTCTTCTTCAGTTCAATTTCATTTCGTTTTAAGCTTTTTAAAAACACAACTTTCTAATGTGTACATTAGGATTCTTTTTAACTTCGCTTCAGTGAAAGAAGGAACTAAAGGAATGATTTATGCACTGTTTTGAATTCCGAACGACATTGCGAAGACGTCGCAGTGGGTCCGATGGGCGCAGCCTGTATTGTTCTGTACAGTGACCGTTTGTTAAAGAGACAAAAGTTTTTTCTTTTCTTTGCGAGAATCCGGTTGGGACTCTTCGGAGAGGGAACGTCGGTCTGTCTTTTGGAAAATGTTATTGTTGTTTTTTAATTGTACGTTACCAAGATGGCAAATTTCTGCTCTTTAACACAGTTTGTGTACAAATAAAAGTTTATTAGAGATTACTTTTCCAAGAAAAAAAAAAGGCAGTCCGTGGTGAATGGCTTTTTTGGGGACAGGGAAAACGCGGGGGATCTGGGGAGAGATCCGGCACTCTGTCCGTGCTCTTAAAATAGGAATTATTTCTTAGCCAGTCGCTATCCCGAGAAGAAAATCCCCGCTCGTTTTCCATTTTCCACCATTGCAATTCCCACCCACGAGACAGCTTGGCGTGACATACGTGTTTGCCAACACTGGACACTGGTCTGGCTCTTTGCAGGAGACTGAGAGGGTTGGGGGACGGAGTGGGGTTCTGAGAGGCGGGTGTGCTGGCGGCCTGGCGCGGTCATGGCGTCGTCATCCCGCCCGAAACGGGTCATTTCACCTCAGTGCGCCCGGTATAAAGGTGGTAACCACCACTGATCAGTCCAGTGGTACAGTGGTACAGCACTATTCTCTCTTATAAAGGTGGTAGACCAGCTCTGAGCAGTCCAGTGGTACAGTATTATTCTCTAGTATAAAGGTGGTAGAC